CGTCGACGGGGAAAGACGAATCGGTCTTCTTCGTGAATCTAGGGTAAGCCGCTCGATCTGATTTCGTGCGGCACATCCCTGAATAAAGAAATCCTCCCCGGGAAAGGTGTTGCGGCAACGTGACTCAAAAGTGCTCGTAGAGCGCGTAATTGTCACGAAAATCCCAATTTCGCGCGTAACGATTCAAATAACTATAATCAACGAAAGTGTTTCTCGTCGCTTTCATTTCTAATTTCAATCGTAGATATTCGAAAGAGAATGAAAATCCACGAATCTCGCATTCAGTCGGAGCTCTGATTTAACGATAGGCAAGCTTCCCGTAAAGTTTCGCCGCCTCACTTGAATCGATCATAAGACAAAGCACCGCTCGTTAGAGAGTCGAGACGTTGGGCGGAGACCGCCGCACGTCAGGGCCGCTTTAAACATGATGAGGGCACGTCGTATCTACCGCAGGACCCAATCTCCGTCCCGCATTAGTTCCATCGATAACAATATGCCTCGAACACACACACACACACACATCCTCGGTTCAGCCGTGTGTACGCCGGCTTAATCGTTACGTAAGTGCATCACGAAATGCTGGTCGCTATCTCTTTGTGAACGAGGGGATAATCGCTTCAATTAAGCCGCTTTCCCATGGATTCCGCGTGCGTGCATCCGTGCACGCACGCGTCCCGTTCGGGTAGATTCTGTACCGTGCGATCGATATCGCTAATGTCCCACCGAACGATATAGTATATCGATATCGAATAATTTCGCAAGACCTTTTTATCAGTCGTTTAATAATAAGCGCGTCCGATTTTATCATTAATCATCATCTGCCGGATCTTGCAGCGACAATCGCAGTTGAAGCTGGGTTATTTCTGGATTATTTCGCCGATGAACAAGGTTGGGACGGGATAAAGTTCGCACTCGTCCGACGTGCGATAATGTCCGAGGAAAAATCTATGAAAACAAATCGTGACCCCGTCCATGGAGCCCTGCGCGCGCACCTCGCACGCCGATATATCGGATTTTCATCGTTTTTTATCTTTCTTTTTTTATATACAGGTATATAAAAAAATATTACATTCCGCTCGCCGACGGTATTGGTTATTAAACGCTTTCGAATGAATACTGCATGAGCGCGCTGCGCTCGAGAATATAGCGGTCCATGTGTTGTATCCACTCGCCCGTACGCCGACACATGCACACACTCGAGCACACGATCTGCGACTGGCGTTAAATAATTTTTTGCTTTTCGCAAAGTGAAAAATGTGATATCCGTAAAAAGTAATCCGCTTGTCCGAGCGGTAATCGGATGAACCGATTTAGATGGGACATACACTCGATCGCAAAAGTCTACGGGGCCTAAGAAAAGTGTGAAAAGGCGTTGGAATTAACGTAGCTATCGATCTATTTAGATTTCCTTGAGAGGTACGTTCGGCAATTTGAGACTGAAAAATAAAAGAGACGGACAGAGGGGGGGGGACAGAAAAAGAGAAACGGCGTTGTATGCTAAGAGCATGGTCTAAATATACAAACGATCCCGGCGAATCTGCGATTCGTTTGACTCGCACTTACTCTCGCGTGTCGACTGTGTAGCGCGACAACGAAATGGATTGTTGCTTCATCTTTTTCGACTACTCTTCCACGAAGACGGTCTTCCGCGATTAACAAGATTAGCAATCGCTTCTGGAAAATGTACATGAGCAGGCTGCAAAGCATAAAGTAACACGCTACGTTTATTCAGATTTTTAAGTTTCTTCCTTTGAAAGAAGTAATTAATTCTACCTCAATATCTTTTTCAGCGATAATACAAATTATTAATAATTTTTATGTCTAATAATTATGAAGTTTATTGCCTGTATATTTTCGTAAATGAAAATTCTTGGATTTAAAAGAATGAAAGAACATTACCTTTCCTTATCGTTCATTTTATCTATTTAATTGTGGCATTTGATCAAATCTTTGCGAAGATCACCTTCAAACTGAAGTGTCGGTTATACGCTCGATCACAAAGGTCCAAGAAATTGAAGAAAAATATGAAAAAAAAGTGTGGTTCTAAATACAAGAATTATAGTTGAAGAAATATACGGAGAACTGTATATACTTTGAAAATGATCTTCCATAAAATAAACGCACAGATTCGGGCAGTCTTCGAGTTGAAAAGATACTTGGCAGTGTTGCGCTAGTTATTGCTGTAATTGCTTGAGTTAGCATTATTAAACGGATTCGTGACAGAGCAACAGCATGCTTGTAGTCTACCCTCTCTTGAGTGCTTAGCCCTCTGTATCTTGAAGTTTATGAGATTTGTGCTTGTACTATTCTCACAAACGGGTGTCTAGACTCGCCGTTTACCGCGGAAAAGTTTCAAAATTACCTTTCCCGGGGTGTTACCTACTACAGCATTCATTCATCATTCACAACCTGTCGTCTGGACCGTGACTGTTCCAACTAATTTGGTCCGCGCATTTCTTTCCGCAGAGTCAACGAGCGCCAAGAAAAGCCCGCAGCTCTGTTTGCTTTTGTTCTTCTGAACTATTTCCAATTTGTTTTCCTCAAGCAGTCAGCAACTCGAACAAACCAGCTTCTTTCGTCGAACATCTCGTCCCTCACTCGCGCACAAATAAAGTAGATCGGGTGTATTGATGGCACGACATTTATGAGTTCGACCATCGCTTATTTACTTCAAATTCATCCTCGCGTCATTAAAAAGAATATTCTCATAATAAGAGACAATAGAATTCTCGTATTTAGAAGCACATTTTTTTTCATATTTTTCTTCAATTTCTTGGACTTTTGTGATCGAGTGTATACCCGAACTAAACGGTTTATCCGATCACCGCTCGAACAAGCGGATTACTTTTTACGTATTATAAAATCTTAATAATATCAGAACGGTACAAATTGAAAAACTGGATCGAGATTATTGGGCGTTACACTGTTTATTTCTGTGCTTCTACGTTCATGATAAAATAACGACGTTTTGATCTTTTAATAAAAGGTAACCGCTAAGCAAGCAAATCATGCTGTAGTGAAATAAAGATATGAAACGGGGCACTTGTGATGGGGTGAGCGAGTTTGTTTAGCCAAAGGTTAGGGCCGTACTTGGCAGAGTATTATTTGCTAAGCTAATGAGTAGTTTCCACGTTGTTCGTCAATCAACAAAGGCGAACAAAGGACTTCCGGTCACGTCGGCGGACCGTCGAGGACTCTGCCACCGTCTAATTCGGACTCCTTCGCGCGACAACTTCGCCAACAGTAGCCACGGTGCTATGTAAACAGCTGCACTTCCCTCGCTATTAAGTACGCAGTGTTAAGAATTAACCACTCGAGAGCACACACGGTGTAATGGACACGCCTGCTAACACTTTCTTTCAGATAATTCGAGCCTTTGCAATTGCTTTTTACACTTCGCTTTTCTAACGTTTCCTTATTCCGCGTGTCTTTCTCACAAGAAGGCGTTTCCTTCGTCCGATGTTTGAATAATAATTAATTTTCACAGCAGAAACGTGCAATTTTTTAATTCGGATAATTTTATCGTAATTCATATTTAGTCACATTGGGAAAGTTCGTTTTATGGAAAATGCAATAACAAATCTTCCCCCTATAATATTCTATTTCTGAATTAATGACGCAACAATAACAAGATATTAGTGATTTCGCGTTCGAAGCAAGCGCGTGGAGGCAAACACGAATGTATCCAGCGAGCATACGCGGATATATCGGCGCGAATGAAAGAGCTCCCTCAAAGACAGATAACGAGGCAGCGAAAATAACGATATGCGCGATGCCGAACGTGCAATTTCCTAATGTGGCCATTTCGCCGGCGGCTGAAAACATCTTTGATTATTATTCGCGTAATAAGCGAGTGGCGTGAGTTAAAGTGCTAATGGGCGCGCGATAATCATTCGGATGCGCTTAAGAAACACGAAAGGGCCGGAACACTTCGGCACACGGCGCAGTTTTTACTCTTTCGCCGGATTTTCCGCGCTGGTTTTCCCCTCTTTTTACTCCGCAATTACCGCAACGTATCTTGCTAACAAAGTTAATGGCGCGCGGCTGATTAAAGGTTTTAATCCCGATGTCCGTAACTCCGGTCCTTCTTCTTCTTCTTCTTCCCTCGCGCGCATTTTCGTCCGAGAGGGCAAAACTAAAAGGCAAAACGCTTCTTTGTCCGCGGCCGACTGTCGAGCGGGTCGGTCATTAAAGTCGATCTCCGATGAAAAGTCACCGTCGTATCGTCTCACTCAGCCGCGCGGGAGAGCGCGAAAATGCATACTGCACTCCTGGGACCGGACCTCCTCGAGAGCAGCGGGAAACGAGCGTCTCGTATTTCTTATTTTACGGAAGGTAGCGCGGTATTCCGCGGAAAATGCACAGTAAGTATCCCCACTGTCTCCCGAGGACCCGAGGAGAGACTGAAAATATATATCGCTTAGGGGAATACTGCGAAATCGAATAAGGATACGTAGACCTACGAGCCACGCGATCGTAACGTTTCGAAATAATCGATAAGATATTTTTATTACTATTGTGCGGTTACACCGCGTGCGGGTCAGCACCGACGTTGTCCCGAGTTTATTTTCCGGAGAAAATGCTTCTGGCGATTCAATTGAAGCGCAAATAACTTTTGACGGGGACTCCGGTCGAAAATATTATACTTTTTGCTGATAAGATCGATTGCGACACCTTGGAACGGCCGTAAAACTAAGCTAGCGGAGATCTGGTTTTATCCGCGCTCGGGAAAATTGCGCGACACGTCGACACACTTAACAACGTGCTCCTCCCCCCCGTTTTTTCTAATTTAGATAAATAAGCGCGAGAATGAGCGGCAAGTCCCACGGACACTTGGCGCAACGTCGGAAGTCGTCCACGTTCTGCGTAATTTCCGGTCGAGTTAAGAGAAACGTTAGCGATCCATTTTACCGAAGGCGCGCGCGCTTTAACGACGCTTCGATAAGAACACGCTGATGGGACAATTTCGCAAGCAGCGCTTCGGGATTCGGTATAAAGGCGCTCGCGGGTCTTGAAGCGTCGCAATTCTGTTAAACGCGCGCCGCCCAGCATGAACCGACTTCTTCTCGTCGCGTTGTTAATATACACCGTCTTGGCCAAGTCATGTATCATTCACGACAAGAAGGTACGGAGAATCGATTTAATCTTGCCGTTCAGTCGCGAAGCGCATGCCATAGTGTTACACAGTGATTATGTGCTAATCTCACTTGGTCACGTCTTAGGGAAAACCGGACATTCGAGTGATCGAACTGGAGGACTCCAGCACAGACTCCGTGAGCAATTTCATCTCGCACGTCGCAATTCCTCCCTGCACCCAGAAAAAAAGTTTCTTTGAAATCAAACAAATTTCCTTTCAATTTTGACCTTGCTAGACTTTTCATTTAATTTCTAGGAAATTATTTCTTTAACTTGACCAAAATTTTATTCGACTGGAATCTCTGAAAAAATGCACATCTATTTCTTCAAATCTACAATAGCAAATGTTTCAGCACAAGTAAATAACACTTTAGTAGGTTCACAAAAACGTGATTTCAACGTGTCTCATTTGTTTGACCTAAATAAATCTTCTTTCTGGATGTGTGCTCGTTGCAGCTCTTCGAAATATCCTTACTCGCGATTTTGTGGCGACGTCGCATCTCTACACGTTCTCGTGATCATCTTGCATAATGTCTGCGTGTGTTTTTTAAGAGCGAATCAGAAATCGTATCTCTACATCTCCCAGACTTCGACAGACGAAGAAGGGAGATCGTCGAGTCGGATAAACGGCAGGCACGTCAATTCTGCAAAAACGATGATGATTGCGGTCCGGGAGTAGTCTGTGTAGCACATCTGTTCTGCGGTATGTAATACGAATTTCCAGCCGTACTCGCATGCTACTTGAAACGTGTAATCGCACGTCTTTTCCTGCGCAGTAAAGGGAACGTGGCGAACTGTAGACTCTGTAGAAGCGACCACTCTCTCAACCAGTTAAAAATTGGACGACGCAGGAAAGAGGTGACAGCGTCTCTGTGCATGACGACAGTGTGCCGATAAAATTTCCCGCCTCGCCGAACAATAAGCGCGCTCGGCATCAATCGAATGATCGATTTCCCATCATCGCCAATATCCAGCGGATATCTGTTTGCTTATCTGTACTTCGCGCGCCGATGAAATTTTCCCCCCGCTGTACATCCATCCATTGTCCACGCATGAATATAACATAAACCCGAAAAAAAAAATTGGACATTTAATGGCGACTCGGCCGCGGCCGCGGGACGCATGTAGTAAAGCGGTTAAGTTACATTTTACACGCGGATTCGGAACGCTAGCGAGACGTATACGACCGGCTTAAAAGCTCCCCGCCCCTTCCCCGCCTTCAAATGAAAAAAAAACAAACAGTATCGTCGGGGAAACATATGGCGCCGTACGATAGGGACTCATTAACGGCAGAGAAACGGAGCAATGCGAGTGAGGAGCCATAAGAAAGGAGGGTTAGCCCTCTCGTCGTCGTAAATTTTGTGGGAACAACCGCTTTCGCCTGCAAGCTCTGCTCGCAGCCCCCCGCCCCCCCCCCCCGCAACCGCAACACCGATCGAAACGGTGGCGCCGTCGAAAAATCTTACTGTGCATTAGAGATTTACACTCGAAATCAATTAGCTCCTAATTGACACGGATGAGACCGCGCGAGCCACGCGAGTTTATTGGAAAACCATCGGACATTGGCGACGCCGCCGATCATGGGAGCTGGTCTCGGTGTCGCTCGGGGGGAGAGATTGTCGTCAGGCACGAGAGACATTCGACATAGGCGAAAACTTCTGCCGCAGCATAAGTAGTGGAGTCTCCTATTATGAGACAGGCTCCTAATACAATATAGCGGAGTTTCCGCTAGATCATCTGTTGGTTTCACCATGAATTTATTGCCCTTGGGGTGAAATCTGTTTAGTGGAAAATTGATTGTTAGATCGTGTACTCGTTGCGAAAAAAAGATTCGTGATTGAAAACCTGTTATCTCGTATTAGAATTCTATCTCATAATAGAGGACTTTCCTCTATAAATTATAATAAACTGGTGAAGGTTGTATTAATGGAATATATATATATATGTATAACAAATTGTAAACTTAACCTGGTAATGTGAAATAAATGTTGCATGTTTCAAAATGATACGTTAAAGGCTAATCGATTGTTCACGGATGCGTCTACTCGGTGCGTTTGGCGATGCAAAAATAAATGTCGCGTCCAATAATGTACGGGGGAATCGGTTAGGAAGGAAATTATCGGCCCCGACGAGAGCAGCCAGTTGGCGTCTCGTAAAACCTCACGAAACTCAACGGCGGCGCGGGAAAGATTTACGATTCCAGCAAGAAGAAGCGTAACATCCGTAATATCCTTTCTTCGCGAAGAGGTGGACGGTGATTTTTCATGCGGGCCATTCTTCTCTCGTCACGGTGCTCCGTTTAATTTTATTTTAATACGGAAAAAAATGGATCTCCTATAGCGCGCGTAACGACGGCGAAGCGCCCGAGCCCGAGGAGATTCGCGAGGGCGAGACGATCGTAAATATTTGCGCAACTCGTTGGCGCGCGGAGTCTTGTATCAGAGGCGTCTTAACGCGCGCGGCCACCAAATTTCGGGCGCGCCAAAATATTTAAAGCCGAGGGCGCAATTAGCGACACTCGCCTTTACTGCTGTGATCAGAGACGCCCCGGTTCTCTCGCGCGTCATTTTCCATCCGAGGAAAAAGCGATTCGCTGTTCGCGCGGGACGTCACAGAGACACGTTTTTGACATTTTTAATCTGTCAGACAGACGGACAGATGGAGAGAAAAAAGAGAGTGAGAGAGAGTGAGAGAGAGAGAGAGAGAGAGAGAGAGAGAGAGAGAGAGAAAGAGAGAAGAAAATCTAAACCGATACGTTGGTTGACGTTCCCTCGATAGTTTTTCATAGCTCGTAAAAAGTGCACAAAAAAACGTGTCAGATCACCTCTTATATACTCAAATTAACGCGTTCAGTACTTTGTATATACGTAAAAATCTATAATCTTCTCTAGAAGCATTTAATGATCTTATATTCCAACAATATTACAGTCTTGTTTAAATACTGCAATTGCCACTTCAACAATACATATAATTATTTTGATAATAAAATCATCTTAATCGTTATGATCTTCGACTTGAAAATATATTATTGTATTTTCTATCCAAGATTGTTTCCTTGCCATTCAAAAAAAATTAGTCTTAAATAATAAGCATATATTTTTCTTGATTGCATTATATGAAAGTGCTCCATTCGCGTACGCTTTTCTCTCTTCATCGCAATATAAAATCTCATTTCAAGTTTTTCACGTTGAGACCAAACATTTATTTCCAAAAGAAGAATATTCTTTGTGTGTGCGTGTGTGATGAGCGTGTCAGTCATATTACAACGACATTGAGTAATGCTAATTCCGATTAACATTAATCAATTGTCACGTTCTCTCCCTCTACTTGTATTATCGCAAGAATTATAAAGCAGAAAAGAAATAACACCTTTTAATCCGGGATCACTCAACGTTTTACATCGTTGCGATCCGCTCCTGTCTCGCTGCGATTTACATTCCATTATTTCAATTGTGTTTTACGGAAAGTATTCTCTGTGCGGAGAACTAAAGCATACAGAAGTTTATTTTGAGCTACGACGATAATGAGTCATTTCGTGGGGAGCCGACGAAAAATAGGCGTCGCGAGAGAAAAATTTCCGACACGCCGCGCAGGCGAAGCAGGTCGCGTTTTTCTACGCTCGATTTAAACGTCGTCTACATGACAGGCGTGAAACCACCGCACGCATTCGCGCGTGTACCACGCGCAGATTGCGACGAGCCGTGGCGGACTCGTCGTTTCTCGCCTATGCCGCGCCACCCTTTTTCCTGCGGATTTTATTTATCGTACGAATGATTCCAACGACGAAGGAATAAATCGGCCATGCCTCGCGTCGCGTGCGCGTAGAAAAGAGTGAAAATAAAATCCCGGCTGGCGGGGAATTTCGACCGAAAATGCTGTTAAAAGAAACCTTTGCTTTATATTTTAAGAGATAATAGAATTCCCTTATTTACCTTCGATGTCGAATTTAAGAACTGGTATAAAATTAAAAATCAATTTAAAATAATCTAAAATATGTAATACATAACGTAAGACTGAGACTTGAGCGAACGAGCAGAAACATTAATTCATAATGGATTCGTTAAAATGCAGTTCGTTATTACGCAGAAGGACACGTGTACAGTGATGGACAGAATAATTGCAAAGCTTTTTTTAATGAGTTTAAGAACGCGCGTTAAATTCAGGTTTACGCTCCAAAACATTTTCTCTGAGGAAAATTTTACTCGACAAACAGATCGGAAATTCTCAAAATGGTCTCGGAATGGCCATTGAGTAAAATATTCCTCGGAGACGAAGATTTTTAAACGTGACCCTGAATCTAAATGCACGGTTCTAAACTCATTAAAAAGGTGTCGCAACCATTCTAGCCATCACTGTATGCAAAATATGTACGAAAAAGTCGACTGTCTAGCACGTGTATAGAATTCTCGATCGGCTATCGAACGAAAATACGCCGTGGTGATTAGATATTGAATGTCGTCGATTAACTCGGGACGAGTCGAGTTCATTTTTCACGGGGCGAATTCTTCGCGCACGTTCACGTAGGGTGTTACGCGATGGACGTCTAGAGCGGTGCACTTACACGAGACATAATATACGTCGGACCAAGGACCGTAACTGTCCCCGTATATTATGTCCCGCGTGTCCGGAGACACGCGTTCCAACCGAGTATCCGCGCCAAACAATGTCCCGGAATGTCAGCCTAAACGATTCCTCGTGTCTGCAGTTATTTCGACAATTAATCGTTCGCAAACTCCGGCTCGGATGCCTTATTCTCGCCACTGTCCTCTTATTCTCAATCTTATCCACTTTTCGACCAAATCAGATTGCGTCGAAATTATTCCTAGACCTATTAAATGACGTTGAAATTGGATCTTGCCTGGGCCTGTCAATTTTATCGTCTTCGGGGAATTATTAATTAAGTTATATCAGTCAAAAGCCGTAATCGTGATGGAGAAAAAACTTGGACCGAATCACATATCTTAAGCGCACACAGGTCTGAAAGGCGCCAAATGAGTTAAACGTTTTGTTAATGTTCAAAATTTCCAAAATTTCTCAAACATTAAATGAAACTTGGAGATTAGTTATTTGAAACTGTCTCGTGTTAAATTTTTTTCGCTCCGGCATAATATGTCCGCGCCAAACAGTGCCCCGGAATGTTAGCCTAAACGATTCCTCGTGTCTGCAGTTATTTCGACAATTAATCGTTCGCAAACTCCGGCTCGGATGCCTTATTCTCGCCACTGTCCTCTTATTCTCAGTCTTATCCACTTTTCGACCAAACCAGATTGCGTCGAAATTATTCCTAGACCTATTAAATAACGTTGAAATTGGATCTTGCCTCGGCCTGTCAATTTTATCATCTTCGAGGAATTATTAATTGAGTTATATCAGTCAAAGCCGTAATCGCGATGGATAAAAAAACTTTGTAAAGAATTATTTGACGCCAGTACATGAGTAACCAATGTAGAAAAATTGTTAAACGACGTTAACTGGCAAATTGTAATTAAAGAAATTTATTGCGAAAAATATTACTTCAGCCCAGGGTTTGAACCTGGACTTCTCTACACTCTAGGCGGGCGTCTCACCAATTCGACCACTGAGGCACGTAAAAAAACTTTGATCGAATCAAATATCTTAAGCGCACACAGGTCTGAAGGGCGTCAAATGAGTTAAACATTTTGTTAATGTTGAAAATTTCCCAAATTTCTCGAACATTAAATGAAACTTGGAGATTAGGTATTTGAAACTATCTCGTGTTAAACTTCTTTCGCTTAATGTCGAGTCAACTGGCGCAATTTCATCTCAACTTGCACTATCTCACGGCTCCCGCGGCATGCTAGAAAATCCTCTCCGAGGACGCTAAGATGACGGCTTTTAACGATCGTTCCTCTCATCCTCTACGGCGGCGAGTATCGTAAGGTTTCCTCGCGAAGTCGAGCCGAACGGGAGGCGTCTTCTTCCCGCGAAAGTATCTGGAAAAATTCCTTCTTCCCCTCCCCGCGTCGAGGATTCAGACGCGCATAGTCGACAGTCGGAAGGGATCGTGACCCTTTTAAGATCCGCCTGCATTCCTACGTTCTGCCATTTCTGTTTTTCGCAGCTTGGATCCGAGATTGCCACGTTACTTCACTTTGCAATGCGGCGAATAGACCGTTATCGATCAATGCCGCAAATACATAAAATCTCGATTATGTAGTACCGGCAAGACTTGAAATGCTACTTTAATTCATTGATATAAGTAACACTTGAAACGCCGCGGAGATTTATATTCCATTTTTCGAGATAATGCCGCGCCTTCCTATCAGCTTTCTCTTAAGGATCATCTACAATAGATGAAGTAAGCCTAGCGTAAGAAGTAAGAGTAGGAGTAAAGAAATGAATCATTTCCATTTCTTACTCCTACTTCAGTTCTGACGCTTACTCTCCGACGAATTAGAGCGCAGTTCGACCAGTGCTATAAATATTTAAAAAAATTATGCCCGTACTTTAGCTTTTACACTGATAAGTAAAGGTTATTTCACACTTCTTACTGCTCACTTCCAATGTAGACGGTCCTTTATCAAACAGGTATGTCAAATAAACGTGTCGACGTAACATGATATAAAGATGGAATCGCAGTTAGATACAGGATGCGATATTACAAATGACACTCGTTGATTGTCGCGTGCTAGTTTACGTCGCATGTGCTTGTCACCGTGTCGATAAAATGTGGCGACGGTATTCACGAGCTGCTCCATGAAAATTGTCGATACTACTCGT